TCTAATAAGTTTCTTAATTCTCATTAACTTCATTTAGTTCTCAACAACTTAAATAATTACTAATATATCATCTAACAATCTAAAATCATCATCAATGTCACAATTTATTAACTTTCAACTCTCAAATTTTAACACTTTAATAACCTAAAGTTCTCAACTATTGAGTTTAATAACTACATTAAGTTTATTAGCTCTCATTACCTCCAATTAACACTAATACAATCCTTAATCAACATCAATGACAACTACCTACCTCAAGCACTACCATTTATGCCATTTAAATGCACAAATTCATCCATAATTGAGAGTCCACTCTCATGGATGCATAAAACCTCTATCTCTAGGCTTATATAGCTTAACCAACTCCTATTAACTCTATTTAAGTTAATGGATTCAGATCTAAAGCTCTCAATGTTTGAAAATCATCTTCTAACTACAAACCTTAACTTAAAAATGGTGTAAAAAGGAAGATGAATAGTAGGGGAGGCTTACCTTAGTGATTAGAAGCTTTAAATCTTTTCAAAACACCAGTAAAATCATGCCCTAGCAGAGAGGATCATAAGCCCTTTCGTTCTCCTTTTTTTCCTTTGTTTTTCACATACACAGATGCCCTTTTTAAGTCAGAATTGCGACATTTATGCTATAGCATAAATGCATTATGCTGCAGCATAACGCACAGTTAGCCAAATTTTGATTCTCTCTCTTCAATTTGAGCCTAGGTGGCCTAATTCATTTTCAAACCTAATCTAATGACTAAAACCAAACTCAATAGGCCTATTAGCCATCTCTAACCATCCTCAAACTCATTTATAGTTAAATTTATAAATTTATCTATTATTAGTTTAATTAATCAAGGGGATAATTTTTGAAATGTTGCACTAATCATGCATATAATTATTGATTGTCACATACTTTATAAATTTGTAACAGTGATAACTTGTGATGGTTTATAATAACTTATGATAGTTGGTAATAGCTTGAACTATGATCGGATGTGACGTTAATACATGATATGTGCACACTTTGCATGTTTTTTAATCAATTAACTTGCAATTATATAGATTAAATATACATTGATTACTAAGTGGTTATAGTCACCCCTTCCCTTAATATTTTACAAACACTAGCTCAAGTCAAGATAAAGAGAAAGCACCAGAGGCATAGGAACTTTGTTTCCTACTGTAAGCCTCTTTTATTTGCTTTTATATATGTGTAACCTTTAATGATATTACCACCTAGGTTATCTTAGTTATATTTGAACTATTAGCATATATTATAGGGTTAATTGTAGGCCTTAGAGTCATTATTATGTGATTGAATAATTTCATCAAGGCTAAAATGCTAATGCAAGTATAGTTATAATTGCATGGATACAAATTAATGATTATTTTGATATATGTGATGTTGTGAACCTCCTCCTACTATTTTTGAGATTAAGAGGTTGAGAGTTAACTTAGAGTTATATGTAACCTCTCTGAGGTTAAACCACAAATTAACTCCAATCTCATAATTATCTAAGGTGTTAAAGAGAATTTCACAAGAATTATTAAAAGGAATCCCAATTTTTCATTTCAAATCCCAAACATAAAATTTAAGGACTCCAAATCAGAGTTTTAAAAATAAAACAGAAGCTTGTAAATCAATTAGGACTCAAATAATGAGTGTTACTCAAAAATCATTTCTGTATAGAAAATGACACATGCGCCATGGCTTACGGCTCGTGTGCCGCAGCGTGCCTTCTCTATGCCATTCGCCGCGGCGCATTGCACGAAATTTGACATATTAGTGCTATCATTTGACAGCACAGGGAGCGAACTTTCGACACGTCACAAATCTCTGTCTAACATCTGATTGAGGTAGTTTTGGGTTTACATGGAGCTTTCTCCTAACTCTAGCTAATGATATTGGTTTCACACTCAAATTCATTTTCTATCAAAAGTTGAAAACTAAAACCTATTTTGACATATTTTCACAAAATTTTTCAAGTGGGGTGTTTCAACTCAACCACACGTGCCAATAGCTTACACCAACCCTCCGACCACACTCAATGGACTCTTGCGGACTCGTGCAACACACCACACACAATCAAAAACACTTAAAATCATCACTCAACCTCAATTTTCACAAAACATGGAGGGGAGAAAAAGTTGCACAAAATCAATCATTTCATTCATATTTCTCAAAAATACATATGTTCATACTTACACAAGCATTTTAGCCCTATCATCGGATTCACAACAAAAACTCACTAACCTAGGGCACAAAATACACTAGTTAAACACAAAATCGTGTAAGTAGTACACCAATCATGACAATTAATCCTAGTTGACAATTACAATAATAAATAAACATTAAAACAACTAAAGAGAGGCATAAAGAGGATTTACTCCACAAATCCTAAGCCTCTGTATGTTTTTTCTAACTTGGATTTGATGAGCTAGGTCCTAAAAATATTGAGAATTGAGGGGTGAGTACAACCACTTAGTAATCAAGTTTCACTTAACCCTTGCAGTTATATATTGATTGTAAATAGATGTAACTAGGCACATAAACATATATTTCACATAGTATTAGACCACGATTTACAAAACTAACAACCACGTGACCGGACTTGCCACAAAACACTATATCATGTTATTTTCAAAACATAACTCAGGGTCACAAAACTAACAACCATGTGCTTTTAACACGTGCCGGACCACAAAACTAATAACCATGTGGTCGGACTTATATGCATGATCATATGCCAACCTTATATCCTCCTATTACCTTCGACATGAAACCGGTGGCTATCATGAGGCTACGTCCTTCACAGACTAACCCAGCCTTCTACTTGTAAGGAGCTATTAGGCCAAGGTTAACTCACTCACTTATGTAATCTGATTTTTCCTAATATTAACAACCATAAGGTGTCGTACCCCTAATTTAGCCTCCTCATGAACTGGTGGAGACTAGTTAGGTTCAAGTCTCTCACAGAACAAGTGGGACAGTCCTGGAATAATCATGGGATAAGGGCTACCTCCCGATTTTAATAATCGGTGCTAAGGCTAGTTCCCGATTCTAACGGTTACTGCTAATACCATATGGATTTCGACCAATCTACTCCTCTCCTTAAGCAAATTCCTACAAATGATCATGCTATGCACATTTCACACATAATATGCATTTTAACAATATTTTCTTAACACATGAACTTACATGACACAATTGCTCTATACTTTAATACATATTTCATCACAATTCTCTACCCCTATTCATAAATCACAATTAATTTCATAAAACATTAAGGGTGGTAGATGTCAAGGTTTTCTTTCAAAAGAAACCATTTTACAATCACGTACTTGCCAATATACATTATCAATTTAAACTCATAAATCACATTTCACAAACACAATTAACATTCAACTATAAAAATTAAGTTTCTCCCAGTTACCTCAAACCTTTGAGAGGTCAAAGATTTATCCCTCGCTATAGCAACTTTCCTAAGCTTTAACGAGCTTGAATGGTGCTAAAACAAACCTCTCTACAACCATATCACAAGAATATCATCATTACTTAACTTTTGAACATAAAACTCCATAAACACTATTTTAACCGACTCATAATCACTACTCATTCATACCTAATGGGCTCATTAGATTCCATTAATGCACATTATCATTAATAACACCTCAAACTATCATTAATGTATATTAACCTCTCCTCACTACCTCATAAATATCAATTTTCGGACATTCAATGCTCCTATGGACTAACCACTTCTAAAATCATCAATGTGGTGTTCCAATATATTAAATCACTCCCATTAATCTCATTTTAACCAATGAAATCGGACCTATACTCTTATGGACTAAAAATCTATCTCCTAACTCAAACCCTATCATAAATAATCATAAATGAGGGAGAGAAAGGAAGAAGAAGGCACCATGATCTTACCTTAAGTGTTTGGGAGCTCTAATCTATCAACAATAAGACCAAAAGTCGTGCCCTAGCAAAGCCAAAACCAAGCTCTTCATTTTCCTCCTCTTTCTCTCTTCTATTTTCACAGAGCTCACGAGTTGATTTATTTGATTTTTAGCCGTGCACTGTGGCACACGCTATCCTCCATCGCGGTACATGGCATAAAGGAGCCTGTTACATTTAAATTGTGTCCGTGCATCGCAACGGACCAACCACGCATCGCAGCATATGGTACAGAACACAACTCTTTACTTTTTCATCCTCTTTCCTTGCCCGAGTGGCCTGCCATTGATCCAGACCCACTTTTAAGGTTGAAATCATAATAATTTATGTCAAGTTAAGCCCCCCTAGCCACACACCTCATTAACTCACTAACTATCCTAAATAAGTTAATAAATCAGAGTTAAAATTTTTCGGATGTTACATTATATGAGTAATATGAGTGATAATATAATGTACAAGTTGTCTTGAGTCTCTTGGGTATGGTATAGATATTAAGTTGAGTTTTTGGCACATTGGTTAGCTTTATGACACCTTTTGTGGTTGTATATGTGAAAATGTAATTTAAATACATTTGGGTGTCCATTTAGTTGATGTGAAATAATATAGGGTCAATGCCAATGCTATAATTGTAAAAGGGAGTTTTGTGAACACCTAGATTGCCTTGTTTGGAGATCAAATGGAGATTTAGGGCATGTTGAAAGTTAGCCTTCGAATTTGTCAATTGTCAGTATCAAGTTCTAATTTTGTGCAATGCATTGCAGTGTATGGTGCCTATACCGTGACATTTGGCACAGTGGGGAGTTTACCATAGTGGATGACTTAGTTTGTGGGTTTTTGGTGTTTTTAAATTATTTCTCAATGTCTTAATACAATATTATACCCTATGCTTCTGCAATAATTAAACTGATTTAAACTATTATTACTTTAAAATGTACATTATTCGAATAATCCTTACTTTTATCAAGGGAGTTTTGGTTATTTAACCGGGGCAACAATGTTGATATTACACTCCACGCCTCTTCTCTTCTCTCCCTCCCTCTACCCTCCACCCCCCTTTCATCTCTTCCTTTGTCCTCTCCCCTTCCTCATTGCCACGGCGACAATGCTAACAATAATGCTTCCCATAGCCACACACAGGCATAATGGTGATGCTTGAACCAGGAAGAAGAAGAACAAAAATGGTGATGCAAGAGGTGAGTTGAGCAAATCAATGAAGCAATGGAAGAGGAAGAAAACAGCCTCCACAAACATACATAATGGTGAATGAACATCGTCTTTTAACTCCCACACTGGTGATTGAAAAGAAAAAAGAGGAAGGATGAAAGGTTGAGGGTTTCAATTCTCACTCCTTATCTACTGTAGGTTGCCTAAACCATATCTAAAAATTTCTTGGTGATTAGGAGCAACATGCAAAATTTTTTGAACCTAGACTTGGATGTTTTGAACTTGGATATGGATGTTTTGAAATAAGATCAGTGCTGTTTTCGTGAGAAAAAGTAAAGCACAATAAAGATGGAAGGAAGAACAAGTTTGGGTTCAGCATCAAAAGTAGAAGGAAGGGGATGATGGTTTTTGTGTCTTTTTTGCATGTGTGTGTTTGCCCCAGCGGTGTCCGCTGAGCACAGGAGCATTAATCCACAATCGGTCGCTCTAGATCCAGAGGTCGGCTAACATTATTTACAGAAAAGAGAACAGCCTACAAGGAGCTAATAAATGAACTAGCTTCCCTCCTCAATAAATACTTTTTCCCCCTTTCATCATCAGTAATGGCTAGTGACTAGTGAGGACCCATCATTTATTTTTCTCCAAAGGAAGAAACGGAGATAGGGGCCTTGAAAAATGGAGGAAGGGGGGAAAAAGGTGATTAAGGGAAGATAGTAAAGAAATAATTGACCTTGTCCCAGCAAGGAGTTAATGAGTGAGAATCATGTGAACTGCTTCCACTCTGTCTATGTCCTTTTATCTTTGAATCAACCAAAAGCTTCGACCTGTAAAATCCAGCGCAACCCCAAGTCCCTTTCTTTGTGTATTTGTTCTCAGCAAGTTACTCTGTAAGGTTCTATCAGTCTGCATGGTAATGGCTGCAATTGCTTCGAGGTTCATCAAGTGTGTGACCGTAGGAGACGGAGCTGTGGGGAAGACATGCATGCTTATTGGCTATACAAGCAATAAATTTCCTACGGTATGTTTTGCTCTCTTTTTTTCTTGTTTTGGCAGAGATCTATCCCAGTCTTGGCCTTTTCCCCCTTGGGTCTATGCTTATGCTTCCCGAATTTTCATTTTTCTCGTACGATCTTCATAGCTTCACCAAAGCAATGTTTTTTATTATGCGTCTATATCTGTGTTGGCGCACCTCGAGGCCGTGCAAGGAACCCATTATTTTGTGATTCGAAGATCAAGGGTAGAAGAACGCACTTGTCATCTGGGTTTCCACCATATGATGCTATTGTTGCTTCTGTTGAATGTTTCTGCTCATGTTTTAGGCTCTGATTTTGCTTTTCCCCTACGTGGGAAATCTGCTTGGGGGTGGTTATCTGTACTACATTCCCACGATGTTTGATAATTTCAGTGCAAATGTGGTCGTTGAAGGCACAACTGTCAATTTAGGCCTCTGGGACACAGCTGGTATATATACAGAGATTTGAGACTCGTCATAGTATTTTTAAGTTAGACAAAATTAATTGGGGGAAAATGCTTGTTTCAAACTTTATATTCACGTGCCTGGAAGAATTTTGTCAATTTGGAATGGTTGGTTTGTTATGCTCCATGTACCTCCAAATCTTTTGTACGGCAAGAGGATTGCAATAGATTGAGGCCTCTGAGCTATGGGGGGCAGATGTCTTTGTCTTGGCTTTTTCTTTAGTTAGCCGTGCAAGCTATGAGAATGTATTGAAGAAGGTACGGTTGTGTAGTTATAGTGTTGTTATTTTGACATTAATTAGAAATTTTTGTTTTCTCTCTAATTTGTATGCACCGGCCAGTGGATCCCTGCACTCCAACATTTTGCTCCTGGCATCCCATTGCTACTAGTTGGCACCAAATTGGGTAAGTCACCAAGCTCAAGCATTAATCTCTAGTATTTTTGTCAGCTTAACGGTGTTTTGTCTTGAGATTGTTGGTTGTCTTTGCCAAATTATTTCATAAAACTTGATACAAATACAAGGCAAAATAAGGCTTTCCCTTCTAAAGCACATATTTCCTAATTGGCACCAGAATCACAGCCACATGCCTGTGTAGATACAATTGATTATTTAGATTGGATGTATACTCGTTTGACCAAGGTATTTGATATCTTGTTTGACACAATTGATCTAGTTCTTCATAATTTTTTTTTAATGAAACTTTGCATACATTCTGTTTAAAACAAATTCTATTGTTATTGAGCAGTAGATTTCAGATAGATTCCTGATTGTGTCAGCCACACTAAATATGGCAAGGATACTTGCTGTTTCTACTGACGTTTATCTTTGTATATTTTTCCCTTTAAAACATGCTAATGAGCTATCAGTTAAATTATGTTCAACTATCAATGCAAACTTCTATGGCAAGCTAATTGACAGGAGGACCTTCTGCTGCAAAAATCTCTTATGCCATTGATATCCCAAAATGGTTCTTCAATATTGTCACCTGCCATCCGTGTTGAGTGAATTAGTCCCTTGTGAAACAATCTGATATGATAAAGTCTACTGCTCATAGTAATATTTGCAATTTATAAGTAAGAATTAAGGGATGACTGATTTTAGTTAGGCGTGAAGCAAATGTTGACTGTCAATACCAATAAAGCCACCAAGTTTTTTTTTTTTTTTTTTTGCCATCACCAAGGCTGTTAGATTAACTGAATTTAGGTAAACACATAACGGGGATGATCACTTAATCTAGACTCATAAGGATTTACCTGCATTAATAAATAGCTACACAAGAATTATAAATGATACTTGTGAGGAAAGACATTCAAGTATATGCATTTTCATAGCAAGCCATTAGTACACGTTACCCTTCAAATATACTAAGCTATTTGCTAAAGCGGCTGTGCCTTAACACCTAGCACATATTAGTCTTGAAACTACAGAAAATATGCTCCCATTACATCTGAAAAACCCGGTGTGCATTTCAAACATTGTCATTTATTGGCTGTTCAGTTAGGCACTTCCGCAAGAGATGACCTTGAAGAAAGAAAAACAGAAAAGGAGAGGACAAGATTAACATAGAAGGAATTAATTGCTAAACGAGAAGTTACCTAGGGGAGAGTTCTCATGGTTAACTAATTCCTTCTATGTTTGTACTCCCTCCGATCTCCAATATATGTCACTTAGGGGAGAGTTCTCATGGTCCAAAATATAAGTAATGTGGTAGAATGTCTAGATCATTAAATGATTTTTTTTCTTGAATATCCCTAATTAATCAATGAGAAATTAAGAATAATTAAATTTATACTGGATGGTAAACAATTTATTAGGGAAATTCTGGAAAATAATTGCAATTTGGGACAAATTTAAAAAGTTAAACTACCTTTTTAACAGCTTTCTTAATATGTGTGAAGTAGTTAACCATGACTTGTGTTCAAGATTGGAGGTAGTTTACAATTGGCATGACCATGATGAAGTTAAGATTTGAGAGATGTGCAAGTTATAGTACAGTTTCTAAGAAAAAAATTTGGGAGATGCTTACATCTTGAACCTTGAGGTTCAATGGGGGCAAGAAGTAAGCAAGTGAAGTGACAGATGAAGGAAGAATAAACAAACCTAATCAGCAAGCTGCCAGCTGAGGATGGCATCCAATAGCGAGCAGGGTTGTGCAGCAAAGGACAAAAACAAGAGATCCAGAACAGCCGGTGATTCGGTGAATTGGGAAAAAATGGGGGATTTGATTGAGAATAAGCGGAAATCATAAGGTAAAGAAGGTGCGTTTGGTGCACAAAGGGGTGGGATTTGGGCTGGACTGTATCTTATAGAGAAAATGAGCTATAAATCCCAGGTGGATAAACTCGGTAGACTTGCAAGTATACCCAAGTCTGAATGAGCCACACCTATTTTTGAGTCTAGATAAACTCTGACTGATTTCCCTAGGTCGAATTGAACTCGGCAATCTGTATATCTTTGCATTGACTCTCAAGTTTCACAACCATGATTGCCATACAATAGTACATCAGAAACGTTTTGTTAGCTATTTATGGTAATGATGATCAATTTTATTTCAGGAGCGGGGAATTGGACATTCATATTTCAAGTATTGTCATCACCATTTTGATGTGAAGTATCATTCTATTTTGAATGTAATAATTTTTATGGTGAACATGTAGATCTCAGAGAACACAAAGCTATTTGGCTGATCATCCTGGCTTAGTGCCCGTGACCACTGAGCAGATACGATGACTTCCTTTATTAGCTGTATACTATTGGCTTTTGTTGATAACCAGAGTTCCATTGGTGCTGCCTGCTACATTGAGTGCAGCTCAAAAAATCAGGAGGCATGTTTATACTAGTATTTTATGCTTCAATTTGGCAAATTGTTTATCATGATAAGGAATGTGCTGCATTCTCATCCAAAGAATAGTAACACATCTTAAAGATAAAGTATCATGCTGTTCTGTTCACCAGTGAATAACGAAGTCAAATATTTGCTTCAGAAGTAATACTTCTAATCTTCTAGTGCTGTAGTGTGTGAAGCGAGAGAATATTTTTAGGGTGCAGAGTTGTGCAAAAACTCAAGTCAACTTTGCTTAGGGATTATATGATTATCATGAGGAAAGAAAAGAAACACGGTACCCGTGGATGAATGACCATATAAACAAAGACGCCACTTTACCCCAGTGATTATTATAGGATAACAAGGTTACGACCGCTTTCTTTTGCGAATAGGCTTATTTCGTTCTTATGATACCCCACACTAAATAATACTTTGATGCCCTCAGTTTTCCAATAACGAATTATTTTTGCAGATAAATAGTTTGTGGTGTTATTGAGATACAGCAATAAATGATCGTGTTGTGGTCGCATTTGCAGAATGTGAAGTCAGTTTTTGAAGCAGCGATCAAGGTGGTCATCGAGCCTCCCCAAAAGCAGCATGAGAAGAAGAGAAAACCACGTCGAGGATGTCTCCTGTTTGTGCACTCTTCCCATGATATCTCAACAGCTTTCCTTCTAGAACTCGTCTGTTCCAGTTTTTCATGCATAACGAATTTGCAGTGCCAGTTAATTGCCATTCTTCTTGACAAATTTAATGTTTAGTTTTTTTGGTAAAAAATTTAATGTTTAGTAGAAGTCTATACATTTGTCTCGTTAACATGAAAGGGACGTGCTCAACTGCTTAGTAGATTTACCGTGGGGTTGTCGGCCATAAAACTTTGGGTCATGATTGAAATTTGTTCATCGTGTATTTTTAGAAATATTTCCTCTGATCTCATTTATAAAACATATTTTAAAAGATTTATTTATTTTTATTTATAAGTTATGGTGTAACTTTTTATATAATATTTAAAAATTATTTTTAAAATTATCCTTTATAAGAGAAAAAAATAATATTTTATATTTGTTATATAAGGATATGTTTGAAATTTTACAAACTTTTATTTCTTTTGTTATTTTCATATTGGTATTGATGAAGTTGGTAAAAATAATTTACAAAGAAAATTAGAAAAGTATATTATTTTTCTACATGCCATGTTTATGCAAAGAATTTCAAAGTACTCCAACTAATAAAATGTATCTTTTTCCCAAAATTAAAACAGTTAATGCTTTATTTTTGGGGATTTAATACGACTTGTTGAAACTGCATGCGCAGAATCGTTCGGTGCGGAAGGAGGCTAATTCATCTAACATGAAGCCTCAACGGTTGCAATGGAGGCAAGTAACCATTTGGCGGGAGGTGAAGGATTGCACAATGGCGTATAAAATACGGCTGTTCCTTTCTTTCTTTCTTTCCTTTTTTTTTTTGGGTGGTGGTGATGAAATTTGGCTGTTCGCGCACGCATATAGATATGATGAGTGTTGTACATGCTAAACATTGGAGATCCAATATCTTGTAAAGAAGATTCGAGAGCCAGCTTCTTGTCGGCTATAGTTATATTCATATTTCTTGATCATTTTAACCAGTCCATACTTGAATAATACTTGATTTTGATCATGTGAGGAGGGAGTTAACGATGTTGTGAATTTTGGCGTGAAAAATTGACATAGCGAACAACTCCGAATCTCGACCATAATTTTCCTGCACATCCTGGATACATGGACAACATCAAACAACGCAAACTGCTACTTCACCATTGGGAATTGTCTCGTAATTTTATTCAGCCAAAATAAACACAAATTAAGTCTTCAACAAAGGCAACTTGATACACACCTCATGGAATCGAGTTGCTGGCATTTATTCCAGGGGCATAACTTGCTGATGGGGTTACACAACCTGATGCTATCAGTAACTGAAAGAACTACATATCTTTAGAAGACAATATCAACTGGCTAGTTAAACTCTTCGCACAAGCTCGAGATCCATCATGACCGGCTTCAAATTCTAGTGTGAGATAGTACAAAAAACCCAGTAATAACACGTAAAATCCATCACGACCAGTTTAATTAGCAAAATATTAGACTTGCAACTGCATCCTATAGTAATTACAGCGAGAACTATTGCAGTGGAAAATGTGGAAAATTAAGGTAACATCCACGATGGCTTCAACCACAAAAGAAATGCCCAGCTGTTAAAATTAGATGACCAGTCAGCTTGTGTGCGTGTGCAACAATGAGAGAACAGAAGCAAACTGCAACAAATTAGTAATTCAGCGCTGCAATAGGGCTTCTATTTATAGTGGATTCTGGTCCACAAATAGTCTAAACAAGAATGGGCACCCTATCACAAGTCTAGGTGGGCAAACAATGAGAGCTTTCCAACAGTCAAGGAGGTATCTACAAAGGAAAGGCTCATGCGCAGCCACCTAGAACGTATTGAAGAAGCAACCAACTATTCCCACAGCTACATTCCATTAGCATATTTTAATGAAGGGAAAGGGCAGACGCCTACTATGAATATAACCAGGTGCTCGCTTACCACCCAAGCCTCCAAAATTGACGATGATCTCTAGGAGTAAACCATTGTTCATCCTCAAATCACTGAAGACAAGACGTAAGCATACAAAATATTAAATTTTAGCAAGCATACAAAGCACGAGACAAGCTAACAGGAAAAAGTGTTAGAAGATGTATCAGAGAAAGCAAGGTAAACATAGAAAATTCTGCCAAAAAAAAAAAGCAGGTTTTCTCAATTAACATGAAAAAGAAAACCATGAGAAACTACAATAACACTTATTGCTATATCATTTAAATTTTTTTTTTTTTTGCTTTATGAAAAAATATCTCTTCCTCCACTGAATTACATTAGCACAGCATCGGATATATTTTCATATATCCTCTTCCTCTCAAGTTCCTACAGGTTACAGCAGTTGAATATACAGAGCCGAAAACTTACAAGCATTTTTATCATCAGACTGTATGATTAGAGATTGCTATTGCCATGAGGATTGCTTGTAGCTATCCCATCCACCATCTGGTTCCTTCCTCTTGAGAACACCACCAGCCAGCTGGAACATCCTCGCCTGCTCCTCAGCTAGCGCCTGTGAACTGGCAACAGGAAGTTGCCTTGGCAAAAGAGCTGAGGTCTCATCTCTGGCCTCCAAGTCTGGACCTCCAGGCCCAGCATTAAGGTCTAAACCCTGCCCTCTCCATTTCTTGACATCAGCATTACCACTACCATCAGGAAGGCTAAAGACATAAGGCCTGGTGGTGTAATGAGATGAAACTGTACTGGCAGGTCCAATTAACTGTGAATTTACTGTAGGAAAGAAAAGCCTTCCACCAGATGCTGAATCTACATAAGTAGTTGATCCACCTGAAAATGATGACGATGGAAGAGGGAAGCTGGAATTAAAAGGGAAGATAGGATACTGATATGGCGCAGATGGATATGGCATTGCAGAAGATGAAAGCACTGGTCCCCTATAAACATCAGGTCCAAATGGGCTGCCACCGGTAGCCGTAGCAGGACCCAGCATTCTCTGTGGCCCATTAGGTGCAACAATTGAGAAGGGCTGATCCCCTCTATCAGGCATAATTGACGATATTGTGACAGCTGAATAGGTGTTCCCAGTTGAAGGAAACCATGATGAGAAACTCCCCAGTTCAGTACTACTTGTTCTAGGTCCAGATACAGGGGGCTGTGATGGCACACTGCTTCTGGCATGGTGAGTGAACAATGTTGGTTCTGTGATGACTTCGTCAACAGCAGGTCCATCATTCAAATCAAAGTCCCTAAGCGCACTAGCCTCTCTATTTGGATGAGCATTGGATGATGGTTTCACCTGCAGAAATTGTACATCCATTTTATGGCCATTGCTTGTGGAGTAATTGCCCACATCTGAAGCTTCATCTACCTGGTTTAAGTCAAGACCAAGACCTCCAGAGCAGCAAACAGGGGAAATCCCATCTTTTAGCCGACAAGAACTAGCTTGAGAGGCTATATCATCAAGCATCCTTTCATCAGGCACATTCAAGTCAATATCTAATGGTTGTCGGCTCTGCTTTCCACCTGGAACATCAGATATAGGAGCAACTGATGGTGTACCAAGAGGCATTTCCACAATTTTTCTGGGCTCTGCAGGCCGGAATGCACTGGTGGGACCTGATCCCTTCCAACCAAGCTCCCCTTCAGGCGGCACAAAGGGCCCCTTTGCAGCAGCCATAGTTATTGAAGCAGCAATACCACTAGACATGGTTGAAGCAGGAAAAGGCACCGGACTGATCACTCGTACAGCAGGTGCACATACAGGCACAGCAATGCTATTGAACTCTCCAGATTTTCCATCATCTGCACTGAAGCCCTCATTTAAATCGAACTCAACTTTTGCATCTACAACATCAGACACACCAGCGGCTGACATGGAAGAGGCATCTGCAGTGGCAGAGGTGCACTCTTCAGCTTCCTCAGTTTCCATGGCAGTCAATTTAGATCCTTTAGAACCTGGAAGCTGCCCCATTTCTTGTGAAGCCAAGCTCAGGGAAGCTCTTGGCAGATTCTGTCCAGCATACTGGTCATGAGCCTCCTTTGTTTCTGAATTCTCCTCTACATACTCAGAAGCAAGACCAGTGTCACCAGAACCAAAACCAGCTGTACTCCTGTTCTCAGGCATTGTCACAGCATCATTTTCACACTCATTTCTTTGGATTTCAGACCAACCTGCATGACTTCGAGCAGCCACATCAGCAGCCTTTCTGCATTCTCTTTCACTGTGGTTTTCTGCAGCCTTACCAACACTATCATCAGAAGGATGTAGCACATTCTCATCTGTTCCTTTCATTGAATCCTGCATAACAACCACGGGAACCTTTTGAGTAGTCTGTTCACCACTGCTTGATTCCTCAACTATACAATTATCACCCTTCGCATCAACCTCCACAGAGGGATGTGGCGTCAATTTGTCAACAGCACCCACCTCAACTCTTGCAACCTCATTAACTTTAACATCAAGATTTCCACCTGCATTAGCAATCTCAACATTTTTGTTCTCCTTGAGCTGTTTGCTACATTCACTACCTCTGGTTTCTTGCACCGTGCTTTCAGGAAAGCCAGGCAATGAAGCGGCAATTGGGATTTCACTTGATTCTTCTTTGCTTTCTGGACAGGCTTCCGTAACCTGCTGCAAATCCATACTAGATGAAGTGATATGCCTATTTTGCTCCTCAGGAACCTTCGTTTCAGATGCCAACAAACCAGAATCATTATCATTATTAGCGTGTGAATCACCAGAGACAGTATCCTGCTTCTTATGTTCATCAATGCCAGTGTTTGCATGACATTCATTTTGAACAAGATTTCCTTCACACTCCATGGTGTTACCTGGACATGACTGCTCAACCGTAATGGTGTTTATTTCAGGTGATCCAGCAGGTGTTGCCAATTCAGATTTGGAAATCTCTCCGGCCGCTACACTGGCAAGAAGCTTCATTCCAACATCATCAACAGCAGACAAAGAAGCATTAGCTTCAGAATACTTTACACAACTTTCTATTAAGGCATTTATGGAGCTGAAATCCTGAATATTCACTGCCTTATTTTCATTTCCAGATGATGATGAAGTGGCTTTCGATGCTTCCAACTTCTTAGAATTGCCAACAGTCCTACAGCGCTCTTCATCAGTAACAGTAGCAGGTGACCCATTGCCTTCATCAGATGCTGTTAGTACATCTTTAAAATCATTACTCTGCCAGGATTCAGTATTAACATCTGCACCAGTATTAGCTCGATAAAAATCAATCTTTTCCTTTGAACTATGATCATACTGATCATTCTTCTCTGAGAAAACAGGAGATGAAGCTCGACTGTTTGTGATTGAAGGATCATCAAAAGAACCTCCACTTGCACTCTCTGCAGGACTTCGGCCTCTGTTTGGAATCTTAACAATCAGCTTGGGAGCACTCCCCTCAAGTGAAGTCCCATCATGCACCTTCTCTGTTAATCCAGATTGCGACAATTTCTCCGAAGATGAATTTTTGTGTACAGAGGAATTTCGACCAGACTCCCTTTGCCCTCCAGATGGAGTTGTACTACCTGAGATTCCATTAACAGACTTTCGGTGCCGTGAAGAACTGCCTGATATTTTATTCACACTCATAGCAGTAGAGCTCCTAGCATCCTCCTTTGCCGAAAAACCCCCAGTTTTAGCATGGTCACTGGAACAAGATTGACTGTTATTATGAGATTGACTAGAACTACTACTTTTCTCATCCCTTGCATTTGCCATAGGAAGATCAGAAACTCCACTAAGGGCAGCAGCACGGGGCTGTCCGTCTTTTGAGTTCATAGTTGCTGAGGTTGGTGAGGGCACCGACTTCATAGACCCAGGAGATGCAGATCTGGCAGCAGTCTCTCCCTGGGTAATCTTCACAGAAGAAGTTCTGGATGCAGAAAGCTGTGTAACCGAGCTCTTCACAGCAACATCAGATGACCCACCTGAATTTTTATTCCCACCCTGGCCAACTTCAGAAAGGCGTGCTCTAGTAGGCCAGGGGACAGTTTGACCAGAACCAGCTTTTGCATCATTAATATTCATTTCAGCTTCAACACGTTTCTTCCATGTGTCAACTAATCCCCTAGCTTTCTTCTGGATTTCTGAGTTTTTATGAGTCCGCAAATGATTCACAGATTTGCCAATGTTACATGTCTGTAGAGCTTGGAGATTTACAGGAAGCTTATCAAGTGCCCGGAGTAATACCAAAAGAAATTCTTCAACAGATTTATCACTGTCCTTAGACCCATTTCCGTCACCAATCTTCCCTTTATGGGCCTCTTGAAGCCATTCATCATACACTGGCAAACCCTTCAGCTGCACAAACTGACTAAGACAATCCAACTTATCTGTTGCTGCAATAACAGCAGCAAGCATTGACCGGCTAGCCAAATCTATCTTTTTCACATTTCTATCAGGAACCATAAGCTGCACTAACTTCTCAACCCCTTCAGCATTAACAAGCCCTCCCTTTTCTGTAATTTTTGCAATCTCTGTCTTCAAAATGTTTTCCTGTCTAGAATGACCAGAGTCTCCATCCTCAACTTTTGTCACACGTTCTCGCTTGGCAGACTCAGGCCCTTGATCTGCCCTCTCCCTTTTCCTGCCCTTAACTTGAGAAGGAAAAGAAGAAGCACTATTCTGGACACTATCTGAACCTGATTTTAACTGTGATGACGTTGGACTACTCATTGGCTTGGGAGATCGACCACCTGGTTGTACTGTAGCATGCATTTCTATACGAGTCCTATACAACAGCTGATCTACTTCTTCTTGAAGTACCTGGAAGTTTGGAGACAGAATAAGGGAATAAAAATAAACACTGCAAGACTAAAATAGAGTACACAAGATTTCAGAAACTTACATTAATATAATCTTGGTCAGTTAACCACCATAAACAATTGTTCGCAATGTCATAAACCCTCCTACACACAAATGACGAAGTCCCTGATGGAAGTTCAACACCTTTAGGAAGAAATGCAACTTTACAAGGATGCAGAAGTGATGCAGCAGGAATCTCATCCTTATGAAAGGAGTAGAAAACTTCGTTTGGCACAGTCTCCAGTAGGAAACCTTTGCCAAGGTTCACTTCAGCAGACCGATAAAGCCAATTGACAAGTATCTTCAATTTACCCTCTTTGCCAACTGTCAGTGAACGAATTATTCCAATAAAAGGTGGACACTTCTGAGGTGGCTTGAAGAGAGCACAGTCACCAACACTAATTTTACGAGAGTCCTATAAATGGAAAATAAAAGAATTCTCAGCAGACATACAAAATTTCCTTTCTGAACACCAAGATGTTAAGAACAAAATCCAGGTATCAGTGCTGTAATTTCAAAATGAATAAATATATCTCAAGAGAAGATTAGGGGCACAAAAAGAGGAAAAGAAATCTTCCCAAGAAACCAAAAAAAAATGAACAAACATAAGAAAACATATAAACATAGTAAGGTCAATCTGTAAATCGTAAGACTCCCCACTCAAATATATATATACACTGCTAATGTCCACAAGGAAGCCAGGACAGATGAAAGTAATAAAAATTCTTATCAGAAAAATCCAGGCATTTCCCTTGCAGAAGCTATCATCAAAATAAAATTATACCAAAATAGCTATTCTCGCACAGAAAGTAAATTTCTACATGTCTCTGCCACAATTTTGAAATCAACAATTCGTTTTACGATTAGATAATTTCCATTAAAAACAGCCTTTACTTGGATCTTCTCTAACATGTATGCTATTGAGTTTATTAAAAGCATAGAAGGTACTAGTAGGACAATATCTTTTACAATTCTCCAAAGTATAAAAATCAATTTCAAGATGAAGCAGCAAAAGAACTAGTAAAACATAAAAAAAAAAAGTATATACCAAGGATTGCTAGATTATAGAAGCAAGATGATCAAGATCTTTTGATGAAATTATTCAAATGATCCATAGTTTGCACCCCAAAAGCATCCTGAGAAACCGGAAAAAAAATTATGATTTTGGAGATTTCACCTTGTAGCCAAGAAAACCCTACCCAAATAAAAATCAATTTGTGTAACAACTAAGCCAAGATAACTAAACCCCATGTTTCAGGAAGTATATTGTCCATCAGAGCTAGGGACTAAGTAAACCTGCTGAAACTAATAAACTGGATGAGAATTAATTAAATCGAGCAATTCAATACTCTATCAGAGAAAGACATTTAAATCTATCCATCTATCTATCTATATTCCTCCCGGAATTAGGAAATTTTCAAAAAATTCTCTCTAACACTTCGTATAAGCATATTGTTAGCTCACTCCACTGGCATCAATAGGGGTAGCTGATTAACCCAATCATCGGGTTTGATTTCCCCCCTTTGTATTGACCTAGTCATGAACACAGAGTGAAAAATCGAAAGTTGATTTTTTTTTGTTAGATTTTAACATGTTACAAAACATAATAGAACCTTTTCGTACATAACCCATTAAAATTTCAAATCTAACAAAAGAAATGATGACAATAACATCGGGAAAAAAAAAAAAGAATACATACCTTATAGAATGAATTAACTGAAGGCGAAGATGGAGAAGAAACATCGGGGGCAGCGCTTACAATCGGGTGGCCACGAGTGGGGCTTGTCCACATGTGCCGAGTTTTTTTCCTCTCCTCACCTCCACGCCCATGCATAGCCTTGCATTTTCCCAAATCCAAGCGTCAATCCCAGCTTCAAATCCAACGAGTACCATCAATCCCACCTTGACTCCACTACAAAGCCCGACCGGGCTCAAAATTCACTAGAAACAGCGACGCCAAACCCTAGATCCATCCAAAACCCTAACTCCAGCAACATCCCGGACAAAGAAAACGAAACCCTAATTCCACGACTTTTCGAATCGCACCGAGGCGAATTCAGGGTTTTCTACAGCGATAAACAGATTCAATCGAAGCTCAGATCCATCCAACGGAAGAAGTAAAAAGAGGAAATTTCGAACGGTCTTTCGATCTCGGGAGAGAGAGGAAGCGGGAGAAATTTAGAGAGAGAGAGAGAGAGAGAGAGAGAATAGAAGAGAAGGAGAGGCATACGGGCCAACAGGAAAGGTGTACTTGGTACTTGGGGCAGAGCAGGGAGGGCAGCGGGGGCAGATCGGGCAGTTCGGGCAGGAGAATGATAACGTCACAGGCAGGTGAGGCAGAGGGTGCCACGTGTAGGGAATATGACAAGAGATTGGGGTTGGGAAGCCCAAAACGTTGACCGGTCCCATTCCTCGTTTTGACTTTTTTTTTTTTTGGGGCAATGGCACTGAGATTTTCAGGGTATCTCACAACAATATCTGTGATTGCACTGACACAACGAGTTTGATTTGTTTGTTTGTCTCTCAGCTTCCTTTTTCCCCTTTGCCCAAGGCAGATCGGGGAACAATCTCAATCCCGTTCTCGTAACACAAAGGAAAATATTTAATTTGAATTAAATTTATTTTCAAAAATTGTACACTCAAATAAAATTATTATTTTTAATTTATGATATAAAATATTACATCTTATGTTTAAACAATTATATAAAATTTTACTCTCTTTTTTGCCAAAATATAAAATTTTACTCATTGATGAGCGATAATTATGAAATCAAAAGCATCCAATCAGACGCTACGAATCTACGGTCTTAGCTATGTACTCAGAGTCACAGATGTGGGTTGATTTTCCTCTGCATTGTTTTCATTCAGCCGCCTTCTATTTAAAAAAAAAAAAGTCAAAAGGGCCTATTTGTAAATTGACAATGGTTAGGAGCCAAAAAGAAAAGAGGAAAATGTTATTTTCGAAGGGTATGATTTAAATGAAAACATATACGATGGAGGAAGTTAAGGTTGTCTTCCAGAAAATATGAAGGCAAGTGATATTATGGTAGGACATGAATAATGTGTGACTTCTGCTTGGAAAACCATGGTTGAACTTTCCGCCCCTCCATTCTTTTTGCCAACTTCCGTCCCTCCATTCACCGTCAAGTTTCATCACTATGTTATTTATAAAATTTTATAAATAATAGACAGAAGATGTGAGAAATAATAATAACTGATCAAAATAATGATGATGATGATGATGATGAGAGAGAGGGAGAGTGAGGAGACAACAAGAGAAAACTTGCTCCTCTTTCTATTATAGTAACTGAGATTATCTCTATTTATACCAGCAGGCATTGAGCGCAATGTTTCAAATTAATAGGAACAAGAAAAAAAAAAGGCTTTAAGAGAGTAACCTAAATTTGAATGTAACAATACTTGAATCTAATCTAATCAAATAATTATATAAAAAACTGAGATTATACCTACTTATAGGTATTGATTTACATCTCCACTTAATTAAAAATTTGTAATTATGGGATAGTTGATGGCATTAGAAGATGTTATAAGATATTGGAGATGTAAAAGATATGACAGGATAGAAACGTCCATGTAGATGTAATATTATAATTTATAATATTCATAATATGGTGATTTTTAACTAGTTCTGCTATCTAAATAGGCCCTCCGTATAAATTTATTTATTCAATAGCATGTCAAGTTGTGAATAAAAGTAGTGAAAATAATAATTTTTTAAAATAAAAAGATGGCAACACTGATTAATTGTGTTAGGAAAATTAAGAAGAGAATAGGTTTAATCCTACTTAAAAAAGAAATATTAGCACAGGTCCTTACCTCATTGTTTTGAAAGTTGGTTTAACATCCTTCAAGAAAGGGTTATGTTGTTTCTTTGTAAATCACCCAAAACGAATTTATTATCTTTGTTATCACTTATTGAGTTGATTAATGAAAGATTTTCTTCATCATGTAGCCAATACTCTTCTCTTCTCAGGTTTCTTAGCAAACTACGGCTTTGAATAATACTAAACATTGAATATTTCAGTCATAGATTTTTTTGTTTCAAGCTCAATTTTTTTGGGCCAGACAGTAAATTTAAAATCTCGTTTGATTGCTAAAAAAGTTGGAAATGGAATAAATTAAAAAATAAAAATAAATTAAATCACCCTTCTCTCTTATGATAAGTATAATAAAATTTAATACTGTAAGTATAGAAATTATTATACCCTTCAAAAATTTCATGAATTATAATTTTCAATATCATAAACTAAAATTACTCTTTCCTTTATGAATATGGCTCATCTACCCCTCCACATTTTAATTATCTTTTTTTTATCTTTATTTTTTAAATTAATTTTATTTCATTCATTTCTAACAACCAAACTAGACCTAAGATTACATTGCTTCTTGCAAGACCTACTTATTGGGATTTCCATGGATAGATCAATAATTTGTCGAGATCCACGTTTATCATATTAATTAATAAATTAACAAAATAAAATAGTATATGGACGCTTAAAAAAGTAATGAACTGAATATTTTTATATAAAAAAATTTCCATTTCAAGAATCATTCGCAGTCATTTTTCTGTTTTTTTTTTTTTAAAGGCCAACAATCATTTTTCTCTGTTGAAACACAGCTGAATTTAGCGCGGCTTTGCTGGTCTATTATTAGACAGGAGTAATATTTTATACAACGAGGTCAAGCATTTATTTTCTTGGAACTATTCAGAACAAACAGGGCAACTCTGTACGCCCTGATTATCTGGACACCAATTATGTCTCAAGGAAGTAAAGTTCGACCATATATAATGCAATCAAGTTCAAGAATTGTGTGGCCTTAATCCTCGGTGTGTAACCTCCACAATTTTGGCTAAAGCATAAATTATTTGTCACGTTACCAATTCGAGCAATCATTACGATTTACGGCTGGGATTCTTCCTCCTGCCTTCGACCCCAAGTTTGCAAGCATGTATACTCTTTTTGCGGATGTTTAGTCTCATATATACAAATATCTCAAGAAATCACTATTTTTCCTTTTAACCTCCATTGCAGAGCCTAACTGCTGTCATTTAGTATGTGCTTGATTCAGCATAGAAAGGAAACAGACTGAAAATTTAGATGCACGATATTTCTCTATGCAGATTTTTTTCCTTTTACCATAAAAGTATTGATCCTGATTAAAAAGGATAAAACTACTTAAACATGCTGTCTTACCATGTAGATGAAAAAAATACTTTCAAAATAGTTATTCTTAATTGTACAGATGGTAACACTTTCAAAAAAGTTATTCTTAATTGTACAGATGGTAACACACACACACACACAAATCGCTTGGCATAAGAAGGATGAAAATCATTTGAATTAAATTCCTCCTGTCATAAAAAGTATAGCCTTAGACCTTAGCTGCAGGGAAGTATGACATTATTTCATGACCCTTTTGTATTTAACGTGTTGATAATAGAAAAAAATAGGGGCATCATTTCATGACCTTTTATAGTTGATGTGTTGATAATAAAACAAAACACATGCAATCCATGTAACCACATCACATAATGAGATAAGACTTTCTTGTTATTCGTGTTAATGTGTTGTACGACCAGGTATTTGTATCATAATCATGATCATGGCTCGTCTAAACGCATTTCCAAACTTTTAATCTTCATATAGTTTTCAGTTTTTTATTCCAAAGATGACGTAATGAGATACAAGAAACTCATGCTATTAACTTATTCCCGTTTCCTCCATCAGGTAATGGGGGACCAAAAAAGAGGATGCCTTCCTAGAACGTTGTTTGGAACACCGTTTGGGCAGGGCAAGTTACAAGTCATTATCTGCCTCGTAAATAATAACCCCTCACCTCAAGACAAGGTAAAGCAAACATAAAACCATAAACAGGCCAGCAGAAGCCCTCTAAACAGTGTTTTCTAGACAAATAAACCCCCTTGAGTAAGCAATCTTGCGACCTTGAAAGCAACATTATAGTGCATCAACAGACCTCAAAGAGCAGATAAAGTCATCAAAGGGCATTTATCATCCTCTTCATCTCAGCAGACCTCCTGGGGTCCGGCTCATCAATTGCTCTCTCTGTAAGTACCTGCTTGATGCGGCACATTGACTTTCTCACCTGATTTCACATAACATTAATCAACAAGAAGCAAAGATGATTTAGTTGCAGCGATCCATCAGAAGCAAATTAAGCATGGGGCAAAAATGATTCCAAGCTAATAAACCCCATTTCCCTCTACTCTCATAAAAGTACCATGACATTGGAAAACAGAGAACTGCCCAAGTATTCTCAGCATATTCAGATAAAATTAGCAGAAACCCATTTTCGTTTAGCTAGATTCCCAACAATTATTTTGTTTGGAAAGTTATCAAAGGAATGAGTTGATTGTGTAGCCCTTTCCCTGTCATTCTCCCAACCATAATTTACAATTATACATTCTAAACGGTTAAACCCAATGAATATACATTTAGTGAGCATGTCATGACAGCCACACATACATATTAGCAGATAGTAAGTGGATTTTTGGAGGAGATTTAGTGCACATAACAAGGATTTAGGGTACAATTTACCTTCATCAAGGAATGAGAAAGCTACTTTTGTAATATAAATCCAACAGGTGTCCAGTAAAAAGTATTTAGACTACAATCTACCTCCACCGAGGAATGAGAAAGCTACCCTCTTTTGTACTATGCAAGTCCAACATATCTCCGGTAAACTAAAAAGAAATTGACCATCAAATTCTAAAATTCTTAAATGAAATTAAGAATTAATTTTTTAAGCCATCCAAATCATCACATCCGTGCCATCCAAATGTTTTCACACGTGAAGCTTCTATAGACATCATATTTCAACACATTAAAAAGTCCAGTGATGAGGCACCAGTGAAGAGGATGGAATAGACAATTTTAAATTCAATGAAGATTGAAGAGGAATAGAGGAAGATCAAATGGAACACCCAATAAAGTTATGGGTTAATAAGCAAAAATAGGAACCTGAACTCTTATTCAAAAATCACCCTGCACTCTAAACTTTTAAAATATGTAAAATAAACTCTGACCGTTAACTTTTTTAACATTGTTATCATCCGCGCGGGTATTGTAATAGTCAAGGTTAAATTTGTAGAAAAATAAACCCTGAACAGTACTCGCGTGGACAGTAATGGTGTTAAAAAGTTAATGGTCAAAGTTTATTTTACTATAAATTTAAAATTTTAAATTTTATTTTGCATATTTTAAGAGTTCAGGGTCTAGGACGATTTTCAAGCAATAGTTTAGGGTTCTATTGGCTCATTAACCCTAAAGTAATTGAACAGGACCTTTTGGTTAACAATATATCCAAAGATTTAGTTGTCGATAGAACACAATAATGCCATACAATTCATGTAGCTAATCTCACCTAATGGCATAATATTTTATTGTTGTTGTTGTAAAAAAATATCTCAGAGCTAAAATTAAGGGAATATCATCTTCTATTTGTTTTGTTGGTATGATCGGACAGTTAAAATTACCATAGGTAAATTAATTTAATTTGATACAAACATTTGTGCTAAATTGTTGTAGGATCAAATTGAAACTTAGCGTAAAATCAAAACGTAAAAAGTATAATTTTGCCTCTTTTTTACTTGAAAAAGATTAGATGCAAATAACATTAAAAGTTATTGCTTTCAACCAAGTTAAACAATTCAAATCAAAGATAAATTTCTAGATTTTTCTCAGCAAAGAAAGAGAAGTCTTAGTCCACAGAATGTTCAAATATATAGGTAAAAAAACTTGACCAGAAAAAGAAAAAGGACACCATAGTTATAAACCAATCATCCATGGGATAGAAGCAATGGTAACGAACAGTTTATTTGAAAAGCTAAATAAATGCAAGAATTTAAAGTAAATAGTAATACCTTAGGGACACGCTCTGGGTTAGGAAAGCGTAGATTTTGTGCATGAAGCATCTGACGTTGAGTCATCAACATGTTTTTCTCCTTCAACAACACAAACCACAGTTTGTGAAGGTCATCCCAGGACTTGAGACGCAGCTCAGAGGCCTTCCAACTCCGACCTTGTGATAATAAATAAACATAAGAGCTTGAATTTAAAAGAAAGTTTTTTGGTAACAGCCAAAACCACTTTAATAGGTTAGAGAGCAGTGTGAACTGCAGACCACACTCAATAAACTCTCTAATGTCTTAGAAAAGTGAACTGCACTTATGATTTTGAACTTTTCAGAAGAGATAAGGGGAAAGGCTACATCATAGTTTATCCTTGTGGATTGATCTAAAATCAGTTTGCCCTCTTGGGATTTACTCCCTTTGGTCCTATTTATAGGGTAGAAAAGAAAATTATTTTTGATCCCATTTATAAGTCCCCTCATTAAATTTTCAACATAAATTTCCCGTTTACCTTCCATTGAATGTTAGAGAGAAAAAAATGTTATTAAAGGATGTATATTTAACAAAAGTAAAGTTGAGAATTTATTAAATCTTGAGATGAAATTAATGAGTTTTAAAGTTTTTCTTGGTTTCAGTGAAATAAATTAGAAGTAACTTATAAATAAAATCAAAAAAGTAAACTGTATCATTCAACAGAGCTGTGATTTTTTCAACCAAAATTTATCCAACCTACATTATTTTACAGTCACGTGAATGTTTATTTCATTGTCAAATGTCTATTTCACTTTGTTTTGAAATTTTCCATAGTGTCCTGAAGCTATTTCCAGATTGAAATGTCAACTTAATTCACCATTAAAAGACAATGAACCTATTTAATATATACAAAATGACACTTTCAATACATTTTCAACATTTAAATTGTTCAGCATAATAATCTTCACATAATTATTCTGATTAAAATCAAGACCAGAAATACTGCAGTGCAATTAAATGGTAAGGAAACGAATCATGGGTGAATTAAATAAGACCCTTTAAACTGTGAGGGTGGCGAAAAGGCCAGTGTCTAATCATCTCCCCCCCCCCCGGGCAAAAAAAAGGAGGTTTGATGCACTAGTTGAATTTTGAAACCCATGCAAAAACTTTGATGAAATATTAAAGACAATAAAGAAGATACACTTCACATCATGTGAAACCGTACATCAATCCAATCAGGGCATACACTCAGACAATAGACCTAGGCTGTATCACTAGTGTAGAGCAGGTTTCTCTCCCAGTTCACTGCTGTATCTGTGTCTATGAATTACAAAGAAAAATGGAGTTAAACTTATTTTGAATTCCCATGACAAGTTGCTCAAACTCCCAAAACATTTCCAACATTCCATTCAAGCTATGATAAGGGCACGGTAAAAGAGGGAGGAATGGGAATTGGATCAGGAGTGCACAAAAAATAAGATTACTTTCCGAATACAATGTCTATTACACCTTATTTTAATTACTCAACAATGTCCGTTCCCCTTTTAGTAAAGGTACAAGAGTCATTTCTATTCACATCAGCATTCCCATACTGTACATAACTAACATCCCATTATACCAAACATAGCCTTAACAACATTTTCTTACACTCATATATCTTATATCCATAAACAAAATCCCAATCATTAAAAGACTGGCAGGAAAAACTAAAGCAACGAATGGGTCTATACCATAGACAACAGGCTTGTCATCATCTGGGCTCCTATCTGCCTCAAAGAACTCCTGAAGAGGGTTATATCCTTCCCTGGCAGCATTAGCAGCTGCAGCGGAGGAGGCAGAAGTTTCTGATCTAGCAGCAGCTAATAGTGTCCTTCCGAATGCTCTTGATAAAAACATGACTCTGACCAGTCAGATTGCCGCACTGTAGTACATTTACAAAATAAGAAACCAGAAAGAAATGACAGAGTATATTGTGCATCAAGAAAACCAATCTTCTATTTGTAGCCAGTGAAGAATCCACAACTATTAGGGAATAAAATCATAAGCTTTCAAGGACTGCAGAGAATGACTACTCTTTACATAAATACGCTACAGGATCAAACTGGTAAGATGTTAGGGAAAACACAGATCAATATGAATGGACAGTGATGGCAAAGATGCACCAATATACAGGTTTGCTCATACAGACACTTAAACCACACTAGAGCGGGCAGACCAGGCCAGATAAGCTCGTACACACACAAAAGCCCATATTACAAATCACGGCCTGACCATTATGACCTTTTTTTTTCTGTTCCGTCAAATAAAAAAGGAGAGCAAACAAGCTTCAACTTCAGATTTTATACCTCAGTGTTTCAGTTTCAGAGAAATATGACAGGAGCACGAGACGAGATAAGTGAGAGGGAGCACAGCACGAGCAAGAAAGGGCAAAAAAAAAAAAAAAAGTCAACACTTCAGTTTTGAGATAAGTGAGAGGGAGCACAGCACGAGCAAGAAAGGGCAAAAAAAAAAAGTCAACACTTCAGTTTTAGTCTCAGATAAAATTAAAAAAATACAGAAGATGAAAACGCACCTAGAAGGAAATGGTGACCTTCAAATCTTCGGTGGGCTCGAAACGGCGGAGCACGAAAAGGAGAAATCGCAATCTGGAACGGGAACGGCGGCGACGGCAGCGCGAGCAGAGTGAGCTGAGGCCGTGAGCTCAAAAACAAATATAAGGAGGAGAACAATAATCGGGAGGGAGGAGCGAACTAAAATGTAGAAGAAGACGAAGAAGCGGGTTCGTTCAGTCCAATAGACGAAGAAGAAGACTGAAAATCAGGAATCGGAGCGTTGAAGAGTGAAGACGACGACGAAGAAGAAAGAAGCCGTTTCTCAATCCGTTCGGAAGGAAGCCGTGATCTCTGAGCGAGTGGAGTGAGTGGTGAATGATAAGGACAAGGTTCAGGGTTCTGCCGGATTTCTAATTTTTTTTTTTTAATTTATTCATGCGAGCCCAGCGCTAACTTGTCTACAGTTTACTATTTGGGCCAACGTGAAGGGCTTGATTTTATTAAAAAAAAAAAGGATAAGGAAAATCTTGGTTAAATCTGTCTTATTTCTTGATTTGATTGTTCAAGTTTAAATTTTTTTTGTTTTGGTTTCTTAAATTTTTTTCCATTATTAATTCAGCCATTATTTTTTAAAAAAAATAACACTTTTAAAATAATATGGATAATAAAATGTTAATGACAGACATATAATTTAACAAAAAATATAATTATTTATAAAGAAAAATAGACTCAAAATTTTAGAAACGAATGAACAAATTGCAACATTAGAGAATACTCCCCATTGTTTTTGGGATTGGACTAACTCAGATGATCATGCCGGTCCAATTGTCACTTGCTTTTAAGAATAGCTTGATCTAACCAATTTAACTGTTTAGGTAACTGACCCAATTTAGTTGAATTGGATTCGGTGAGTTTTGGAAAACTAAATTTAAACTAGAACCAAAGGCTAGAGTGGGTCAAAAGAAAGTCAAGGTAGGTCAAAAATGAAAAAAAAAATTGATCACACATTTTATTCTGTTTTCACTTCTTCAATTATTCATTCATTGTCTTATTCAATCTCTACTCTCCACTCTTCAATGGACCCTTCATACTCTCTTATCATATTTCACCTCAATCTGATCCGTCGTTGTGGAGAGTCAGATGAGCAGCAAGAATGAGAAGCCATGAGAGGGAGGGGGAGAGAGGAGATGCAAAGGAAATTATACTCTTAGAGGATATAAACAAAAGAGATGCATGGCAAGATAGAAATGAGTTAAGTAATAAACTATGTTACTTCTATTTTATCCACAACAATCGTCAGAAGCTCATCTAAGAGAAAGAGAGAGCATGAAGAAATTTTTTGAAAAGTTGAAAATGAAAAATGAGGGAAAGAAAAATGAGATGAGAAAGGAAATGAGTGGGTCTATATCCAAAATTAAAATACGAAATATTATATAATTATTAAACTATAAAATGAGGAGTAGATAGACATAGGAGGATGGAGAAAGTAATAAGAATTGCTTGAAACTGTTTTTATTTTATTATTATAAGAATTGGTGTTTTGTAAAACATATTCTGAGAATAATAATAATAATAATAATAGGTATTTTTTTTTATTTTCTCTTATTCTTTAGAACAATGATTCAAGAACACTTAAAAATTATTTTCATTCTTCTGTTTTTTAAAATAATATTTTATTTTTTTATTCTTCAAAACACTTTTTAAAAACATGTTAGAAAATAAATTTTTTTATTATTTTGTTTTGAAGAATAAAAAATTATTTTTAGAATAGATTTTCAAACAGGTCCATGATCTCTTAAAATTCTAGAGCCCTATGCTTACAGTTTTGCCTACTCGCTTGAAAGTTGAAAAGACAATGACTCTCAATTTGTCTATTATTTTAAATGAAATAAAGTAATGGTAATTTTCCAGCCTTAAATATATTTTTCTTAAAAAATAAGTGAGACTAAATAAATCAAACTACATGATAAAAAATATAAGTTATAAATATTATAAGTTATATCCTATTTCTTGATATTTATAAAAAATATTTGTTATTTTTAGTTTTTAAATACACTTTTACCTTTTTTACTTTTATCTATTTTAAAATTTGGTTTTATTAATTTTAATTAATTTTTATATTTTTATTTAATTATTCTATTAAAGGTTCAACCATCAATTTAATCAATTGAACCGTAAAACATTGCCACTTCTTTTCGACCAAAAAAATTTAATTACTTTTTAATTTAATGTCTTGTTTGATTTTTAAAACATTGTTACTTCTTCTATTTCCTTCTTAATAAGGCCGACCTACCTTGATATGAGGGTATGAAGTGTCTCGACTGGAGGGAGAGGATATGGAATTATTTGAATATGCTTTAGCTGTGACAGCGAGAATAGAACTAAAGATAGTAGAGCACAGAGGGAATTATCCATACCGAAGAGGGGACAAAAAGAGAAAGAAATCTTCAATACTTTCTTTCTCCTCCCTTTATTGTTGGTAAAAGCAATCCGCAGGGACTTTGAAACCAATTAAGACTTGAAGACTCAAAAATTAATTGATATGAATTTTAATTTATTCTCATTTAATTATATATGTATGCATAGTTATTAACATGCTTTACACATTAAATTAATATGAGAGTCAAGTTGTGGTTTAGAACTTACAAAACTAAGATGATAATTTAAGTAAATGCAAGGGATCAAGTAGATGAAAATAGAATTTGAAATACTAAATTGATAATTGACATATATTTGAGACAACAAATTTTATTATCTCTGAAAATAGTACCGGACGGATTTTGCTAGCTCCAAAACTTTTCTGCCTTATTCTAGCTGGCCTCTCAGGCTTATTGCCCTCCTCCCCCCCCCCCCAAAAAAAAAGTCAAATGGTCCTTGCAACATAAAAGCCCAATCAATAGAGATAATTAGGCCAACTAAAACAGTAAACGTAAAACACAAAGAAATAGAACATAAAAAAATAATAATAATAGGCCATTGGATTATTGATCCAGCGTTAGGACACAAGCATGCAGAAACACTTACCACTATGAAGAAGTTGGAGATCAGCTAGCTTGAATGCATCCAATGCAATAATAAATGAGCACCCTCTCCACAGGAAAAGGTACCAACATGGTACAAAGAAGAGAAACTAACGTTCTCAAAGAGAAGGCTAAAAAGCCTAACCACAGCAGCAAACTCTTGACATCCCAAAGACATCGATGTTCTCCATATTAGCAACTTCAAGGGAAGATTAAACCAAGGGTAGGGTCATTATGTAAAAACCTGATACGAATATGAGAAAACAATAGCAAGCATGAGCGGCCGAAAAGGTAGGGGTGAGTCATGACACTACCCATTTCATGACCCACGATCAGCCTCCGTATCATGGTGCAGCAATGCGAGCTTTTTTGGCAACCAAGCTAGAAAAACCCAGTTTAGAACCAAGGTTCAAAGCATATAATTTCGTCTCACTTATCAGTAGTGTGCTTGCGATTAGCACCAGTAAGACCTAACCTTGTAATTGATGGAGCAGAACTTGCAGCAGCATTGCCATTAACAAAGTGACCATCGTCGACTAACCATGATGGTTGGTGTTTCTTTTGAGCAAAGGGATGACGAGCAATACCGCACCCTTCATTCACAGACCAACACTTTAACCTCGGCTCCTGCGACTTACAAAGACAGTGAGTGGGAGAACATGCATGCATGAGATCTTGCCATGCTAAAAACTCAAGAGAAAAGACGTAACTGAGACAAGTAGCAGAGTGGATAAGAGCTTGCAAAGCAACACCACAGTTTATAAAAAATGCTCCCTCTGTGAATAAATGAAACTACCGTAGTGATAACAGTAACTGTCGAATCAGGACTCAATGGCAGCTCAAAGTAATGATAAAGATTACCCCTAGTCTTCTTATTAATGTGAAAAGACGATGCCTCCCCTGCTAAATCATCTGAAAGTTTTCGCTTGATCATGGCATCTCCATAAGAAGCCATATGCAAAGAAGCATGAGAAGAGACACGTTGCAAAGTGTACCCAGGAAAAGAAGCAAGAGCAGACTGGGTAGAGTCAACAAAAGTGGGCTTTAAAACACTTGAAAAAGACCTCGGATACAGTAGCTCGAATCGTTCAAGGAAATTGGAATCGTTTTTAGAATGGCCCAAAAAACCAACCCGAATATCATTCCTCGTAGAATTAGAAGAACCCAACTTCAAGCATCTAAAAGTAGAATGACCGACATATAAACAGTGTGAGAAAAGTCGGCCAACATTCTCCACGAAAATAGAAATTTCAAAAACTTCATCAAGGTGAGAATGCAAGATTAGGTTCGGAAAAAAGGGAAGAGAGGCCAGAACCACGAACAAAAAGACGTAAACCAATATTAGAAGGCAAATACGAACGTTCAAACTTTAAAAAAGAACCAAGCTTATCTCCAATGAAAGAAGCCGTAGAAACAGAGTAGTAAATTAAAGGATGACCTAGAACATGAATCCAGACACAAAAACGAGTAGGAAAATTCAAGGAAAATGAGAAAGATTCATACAAAGAGGACACCGACAAAGTAAAACCTTGAAAAAGCTAGACACCATGACTTAAAACAAACTTAAGATCATATTCGAAACAGAAGCAAACAACAAAGAAAAGCCCCTGATGTTGAACCACACAAACAGGACCTCTAAGATACCAATGCACATTCAGAAGAGACTACAACTTGGAGACATGAAGAGAACAATCATCGAAAACTTGAAAAATAAGAAAGTGTCGACGACAGAAAGAAACATGAGACCGGCTATAAGAAGAAAGAAACATCTTGAACCGAAAACGAAAACAATCACAAGAACAAGCAAGAAAAAAGCAAAAACGAGACCAAAAGAAAGCACCAATCTAAAAGAAAGAGAAGAAAAAAAATATCAAGAAGCAAAAATTAGCTGCCTAAAGTTCGCAGGAAGGAATCCAGGAGACAGAGAGACGCGAAGCTCTCTCAAGCTTACTGTTGATTCTCCAACATTGTTAATCCTTGAATTCGTTCGATTTTTTTTTTTGACTCAAATTCATTCGATTTTTTGAGTCTTGCTATATGTTTTTATGCGCATTTTGGTCTTTTTATAATTGTTTTTTTCTTTTCCATACTTGATTGATATGCATCAAGCAAAAATTATCTCAAACTTGCATTTCAAAATGATACCAGCTAAAGAGGCTCTGGTTTCTCAGCAATGTCTTTTCTGAAGAGCCCAAAGATGTAAAGCCCACTCTAGAGATCAAATGTACAGCGACAGCCCAACCGAACCAAAAGTGTAGAAAAGGATTTGTATAATTGATTACGATGTTTAGAGTGAGGAACGAATGTCAAATGGTGCCAATAAACAATTACACCAGCATCATGTGCTTTCGACCCCTGAAAGAC